TTATCAAATAATTAAAACTCAATTAATAATTGATAAGCTTGAAATGAAATCGAGCAATAAAACTGTATTTATTTATATACCACCATGAAACATGTGTTTATAATTTGCAAACGTTGCTCTTCAGATTCGCAAGGCGTTGTTTACATATTCGTTTTCACTGCTGTAATGAACTACATTGGGATTGGGAAACCCCACACAACTCGCCTCATTCTTTATACTTGTTAATGATAGTCAGTCATAAGCATAAATTTTTGATGACACTCTTCAATAGCCTCCTCTCGCAGCCGTTAGGACGTTCGTTCCTCGTCCTAACGGCTGGGAGAGGACACTAACTCTTCAACAATGAATTTCATTTCTATGAAGAGTGCGACTTCGCGCAGTCATGCGTGTAGTTGGCGAACGGATTCTTCGCCAGTACCAATACAAGCACGAGCAAGATATTTAATATATATCACTGTTTTTGCAGAAAAATGAGCTACATTCACATCCCTCATGACCGACCCCTGGAACACAGGACCGCTTTCCAAATCCTAAAAACACATGCCAAGCAGCAACCAAATAAGGAAGCCATTGTTTTCCGTGATGAGAAACTCAACAGAGTTTCCCTAACATTCCAGGAATACGACACCAGGTCCAGTTCTCTCGCTGCTGGGTTACTTGAGATAGGAGTTGGACGAGGAGATAGAGTACTAGTGCTTCTGCCATCACATGTGGAGTTTGTTCTCTTCCACATGGCCTTGAATCGGATTGGTGCTGTCATGCCGCAAAGGAAGATTGTTATCTGACGGTTTGTCGTACTACAGACCTCGCCTGCGTCATCGCTCGAGTTGAGTCAACTGTCATCAACAATGACAAAGTAGTTAATGAACTTAAAAACGCTTTGCACCAGAACAGGCTTAAGGCTGCAGTAATAGTAGGCTCTGAAGCCGATTCAGAGCTTCTCGATCACCCTAAAGCTTACATTCATGAAGCGTTGTACGCCATGGCCAAAGCAAACTCAAAAAGTACAGCAAATGTCCGGAATGCAGAAGCCAAGGTTCAAATGGATGATCCATGTTTGGTTCTTTTCACATCAGGATCGACATCACTTCCAAAACCAATCGAATTCACGCACCACGGTTATGTCAATGGAATCTTTGCAAATGCTAATATTCTGGAACTGACTCGAGAAACGATACATTTTAATAACTACCCGTTTACGTGGATTTCAGGTGTCGAAGATAGTATAGGCGCGTGCGTTGTTTTTGGTCTCACCTACATTGCCTTTCCACCGAAATGTGCCATTTCTGGTCAACACACAATGACGATGATGAGGATAATCCAGGAAGAATCTGTCACTCTGGCTAACTTGTCGCTACCAGTACTGCAAGACATCGCGTGTAACAAGAAAGAATTAATTGCAATGAATTTTAAGAACTTAAAGCTCCTAAGTACGTCAGGTCAACCCACTCCATTGCCTCTTGTTAAGACCATGTTTGACATTTGGCCGAATGTCAGCTTCGTGAATGGCTATGGAACGACTGAAGTAGTCGCCATAGCTATGCAGAAAATTACCAAAGAAAGTTTGGATTCTCAGGACTATGGAATAATGAGAGTCGTTCCTGGTTTGGAAATAAAGATCGTGAATGAAGAAAGTAAACTATTGCCTACTGGTGAAAGAGGTTTGTAGACTACTGATTATCAGTCGAACAATAATACGTACCAGTGTATAATCGACCAACTCTGAGCCTCATTATAGATGTCAGGGAGTTTTAAAGAAGGGGATCTTTTTTTTTTTTGTTTTAAACAAATTTCAGAGATTCCTACATAAATATTAATAGAAAACTGGCAATGGAGCTCACCATTGCTACCCTAATACCTAAAAGTCTGAGTTTCCATAATATGCCTTCGTAGTCTTTTTAAGTCCTGTAAGGATGATTTCAACAAAGAGCACATTTGCGTTTTCGAATTGTTCATCTTCGTTTAAAATAACGATTATTTTTCCGCAGGAGAAATCTGTCTGCGATCAGCTTGGGTCTCGTTTTGCAACTGGGACTACATGAACCCTGACCTGGAAGGCCGAGTAGATACCAGCAAGAAATCCAATGGATGGAATTCATCTAAAGATGTTGGAGTTGTTGTCAAACAAAATGGCATCAGATTACTTGGTCGACTTGATTTCATGATCAAAGTAGCCGGCGAATCCATTCCGCCAGCTCTTCTTGAAAGTACGATACAAGAACACCCCGATGTCAAGAAAGTGTGCGTCGTTGGAGTTCCTGACGAGCGATTGTACCAGAAGATATGTGCATGTATTATACTCAAACAGGATCACCATGACAACAGGAATGACCTCAGTGATCATTTTGACAAATGGAGCAAAGACAAATTCAGTGCGTCGTCTTTTGGTTTTATCACTAAACCTCACTACTACGTCTTCCTCGATAGTTTTCCACTGACTGGAACCGGTAAGGTAAATCTAAGAGAAATGAGAGACATTGCAATAAAAGAATTAAAGTTGATGTAATGAAAAATTGAATACCCTTTGCACCTATTTCTCTTTGTAATCAATAAAACAATCAAAAGGGATACTAGCCGTTGTTTGTAAGAATTGTTGACAATAGTACCACTTGTATGACGGGTATGGGACATGATTTTAAATGGGACGATCAGGTAGATCTTCAAGGTTATAATCACTGTCTGTTTCTTACAACTGTTTGTACATTCAAACGTCTTGGGCTCCCTGTGTTCCCGTTAGACACAGATCAGTTTGAAACTCCATAATCTTTCCAGAGCTCATGTAATTAGTAGTAAAGGAGGACCTTTAACGCATAATAATATCGAAATCTATGAAGCTCAACTTTCGAAGAGAACAATTCAAGGATCTAATTCATATTCTTGTTTGAGTGATTTTGTAAACATGCAGTTAAAATACGTCATCGTGAATTAGGGGAATGTAGGTCAAATTTTGGTGGCACAGCGACGTATTCGAATACTCATTTTGCTCGGTATACATGTATTCTGCAACACCAACAACATATCAGGTATGTATGATCAACTATCTTGAAATTTGCTGATTTCTTAGGTAACTTTTTAGTGCCTGCATAGCATCCTTTCTCTATAATAACAAGATACAATTGTCAGACAAGATGTAATACAACCTGCACATATATATCCACCTGTTGAAGTGTACAGAGGATCATTTAACAGCCGAAAGGAAAGAATTGAAGCGTTTAGTTTAGTTTTTGTTATATATAACTCTAAAAAAACATAAGAAAGTAAGAAATAGGCTTGTTGAATGTTTCGATACACGTCGTTGCCTTGATATATGCAAATAAGAATGATTATTATGAGCACCGTTGTGTCTGTGTTTTCATCGGCTGCACGGGTTATGAATTCAGTGCTTACCGTCATATTTCTGGCAAGGAAACAGGTCTTGTATTATGGGCTTCGGTTCTGCTAATATCTATCAACTTAGGTGACTATTTTACAGTATTCTAAGAAGCTATCTCATGCTATATGTACAAAAGAATAACTACGAAAACAGTTTTCCTTTCATCAAAGCCTGTTTGCGATGAAAGAAAACCAAAAATAAAAAAATATCGAGAAGCAAATGTGAAACCTGATCATTTTTTCTGTTCCAATTTCAAAAAATTTATCCTACAGCTGCCTTTGTGGATACTAAAACAATTAGATCACTAGATATCCTGGACGACGAGAGCCTCAATTCGGAGACCACGTGTTCTAATGAATTCGTTTGATATAACATATAGTTTCAGTGAATGCTTAATAGTCCAGTCAGAATGCTGGATTTGCCATAGCTCATTGTCTTGTACGACATAGTGACGTTGGATTTCGAGGGACACAATAAATGTTTTACATCCAAATTACATCCATGTAGTGATATGCAAATTTCCAAACTATAGCAATATTGTAAGTAATATTTGTTGCAACACAAACCAAGAAAGAAGTAAGCTAACGGCATTGCAATCGAGTATCGAAAGTCAACGGATAAATTTATATAAAACAAAACCTTGAAACTGCATGCAATACTGAATGATATGATATATTACTTTTACTGCAGAAAGATGAGTTACATTCACATCCCTCATAAACGACCTCTTGAACACAGGACTGCTTTCCAAATCCTGCAAACACATGCCAAGGAGCAACCAAATAAGGAAGCAATTGTTTTTCGCGATGAAAAACTCAACAGAGTTTCATTCACATTCCAGGAATACGACACCATGTCCAGATCCCTTGCGGCTGGGTTACTTGAGATAGGAGTTGGACGAGGAGATAGAGTTCTAGTGCTTCTTCCATCGTATGTGGAGTTTGTTCTCTTCCATCTGGCCTTGAATAGGATTGGTGCGATTATGCTAGCCTCCGAAGAAAATCGCTATTCGGCTGTTTGTGGTACTTCACAACTCGCTTGCGTCATCGCTCGAGTTGCTCCAACAATCATCAACAACGACAAAGTTATCAGTGAAATTAAAAAAGCCCTKCACCAGAACATGCTCAAGGCTGCAATACTAGTAGGCTCTGATGCTGATGCAGATCTTGTCGATCACCCTAAAGCTTACACTCATCAAAGACTGTATGCAATGTCAGATAGCAACCCGAAAAGTGCAGAAAATGTCCGAAATGCGGAAACCAAGGTCCAAATGGATGATCCATGTTTGGTTATATTTACGTCCGGATCAACAGTACTAAAGCCAATCGAACACGATCACCACGGTTATGTGAATGGTAAATTGCCAAAACCAATCGAAATCACTCACCATGGTTATGTCAACGGAATCTTGGCAACTGCTGATATACTGGAAATGACCCAAGAAACAATATATTTCAACGACTTCCCATTTTTTTGCAGTTCAGGTGTCGAAAACAGTATAGGTGCGTGTATTGTTATTGGTCTTACCTACGTTGCTTTTCCACCTAAGCGCGACATTTGTGGTCGACGTATAATGACCATGATGAGGATAATCCAGGAAGAGTCCGTCACTCAAGTTAACTTTCTGCTTCACATGCTGCACGAAATCGTGCCTCATAAGAAAGAAATCATCGCAATGAATCTAAAGACGTTGAAGTTCATAAATACAGGAGGCCAGCCTACTCCATTACCTCTTATAAAGACAATGCATGGTATTTGGCCCAATATCGAATTCTTGAATTGTTATGGAACGACTGAAGTACCCTCCATTGCAGTGCAGAAAATTGGTAAAGAGGGTTTGGATTCTAAGGACTATGGAATAATGAGAGTTGTTCCTGGTTTGGAAATAAAGATCGTCAACAAAGAAGGTGAACTAGTACCAACTGGTGAAAAAGGTTTGTAGACTACTTTTTGTGAGGTGCACACAAGAATTCCTACGGATGTTCACATCTATCCTTTCCTTACTCTATCCATGTCTGAAGATGATTATGAAGATCTTTATCTGATTCATGTTGGTTGACCAGTCCAATTTTGGGTAGATCGCATAACAAATGTAATCTGAATCACAATTACCTTGTCTTAATTATCTTTTTCCTGTTTGGTTCATTTATACCTAAATACTGAAAAACAGTCGGCGTGTTTTTCCCAATCATCTGTTTGTGTTTCTGATTGTGAATGAATAGGATATATGTGCATTAACATACCTACACTTATATTTATACACTTATAAGCGGATTTCGTTTTAATGTTTGCACAAAAAAAGCTAATTTATTATGGGAGAAATCTTTATAATACTGAAAACATTTGTCCCTATACAGGAGACATCTGTCTGCGATCATCCTTTGTTTCGTTTTGCAACTGGGACTACACGAACCCTGGTCTAATAGGAGACCTAGTGCATGCTAAGAAGAAATCTAATGGATGGCATTCTTCTAAAGATGTTGGAGTTGTTGTCAATCAAAATTGCATCAGATTACTTGGTCGACTGAAATTCATGATCAATGTAGCCGGGGACTCTATTCCACCAGTTTTTGTTGAAAGTAAATTGCAAGAACACCCCGATGTAAATAAAGTGTGCGTTGTTGGAGTTCCTGACAAGCGATTATACCAGAAGATGTGTGCGTGTTTTGTACTCAAACAGCGTCACCATGACGACAGGAATGACCTGAGCGAGCAGCTTGATCAATGGATTAACAATAAATTCTCGGAGTCTTCTAGCGGGCTTTTTCATAAACCACACCACTATGTCTTTCTCGATAGTTTTCCCCTGACTCCAACGGGCAAAGTGAATCGTAAGGAATTGAGAGATATTGCAATAAAGGAATTAGGGTTAATCTAGTAATGGATTGAAATGTCACAGAGCAATATTTATATTGATAAATATCAGTTGACTCGAAAAACAATAAAAAAAGGAGCGGAGTACAAATGCAGCAAAAAGATATCTTGAACTATGACAAGGAGAAAAAATGTTCTTGCAAAGACCAAATCCAAGCCCCCCTGCATCCCTAACATCAAAAACTCCAATAATCAGCTCCATATAGTAAGATTGCATACTCGGGCATAAAATCATAAAAGAAAACACTATAAGGTTTCTAATCATTATTGCTACTGCCCATTGCTTTGCCTCAGAATATGTGCTACCAATCACCATCTCAGAATGCTCAAAAGGGTTATGTTGCTAGACTAAAGACATATGGCGGCAAGAAAAAGTCGCAAAACAAAACACATTCAGTGAGTAGAAGAGACGAAAGACATAAAACACAATAAATCATTGATACGTAATATTTTTATTAATACTTGTTGATTCTTCTGTGCAAAATTGATTTATTTTTTAAACGAGCTTTCGGCTTAAAATCTCGGTTAAAAAATAAATCAATTTTGCACAGAAGAATCAACAAGTTTTAATAATAATATGCCTGTGTACGACGAAATTCTTAACGTAATATTTTATTTGAAAACTAGAAATATGAAGTTCAAATTCACCTCGAAAGGAACAAGTGGTCTATACACATTCATTACAAATATACATATTTTTCATTGAAGTGATTCTGTGAGCTTGCTGTTACGTCATCTTGAATTAAGAGAATGAGGGTCCAGTCTGGCGTTTAGTGGTCCATTCAAGTACCTCCAATCATTGGCTTCGAGTCTATATACATATCTCTTGGTATATTTCGTTAATGAAAACGATTAAGAATATATATCAGGTATGTGAAATGCATAATCTTGTAGATTTCTTAGCGACCATTTTACATGTTGTGACTGATATACCTTATCAAGACACGATACGAATTTCAGCTAGAAATGAGGTGCTCTAAGCAATACATAAAATCCACCTGTTCAACAGTACAGAAAATAAGTAAACTGGCGAAACAAAAGACAAAAGCAGTAGCGTATATATTCGTTTTTTTATTTGTAGCTCTAAGAAAGTTAAAAAGAAAGTGATAAAGTCTTGTTTATTTCATTACACACCGATGCCTTAACATATGCAAAGAAAGAATGATTTATTCTAGCATGACTGCCGTTGTAGTCTGTATAAATTGTTTTTCATCGGCTTGTTAGACTATAAAAGAATTATCAATAGTGGGTGTTTAGAAGCACATTATTAAAACAATGTCTAATAGTTATATTTTGGAAAAAAACCTCCCTTTTTAACGGGTTTGTTTCTAATAGTTTCTATCAGCTTCTTTCACAGTCGGGTGAAAAGAAGTCTAATGTTATATGTGTTATAAGGGAATAATCACGAACAGATTTTTTCTATCAAAAAATCATCCTGGTTCTGGTTTCGATATAGCAATTAATGGTTGCTAAAAACAATGATGCTTTTTGAATGATTTACAAAAGTTGCGCACTTTTTCACGCGCTTTTGGTGTTTGCACTCTTGTCTCATATTGGGCTTTATAACAATTAGATGACAACTCCGAGTGGACAAAGAGTTAATAGTCCTCCAGGCCGCACTCATACGAATAGACTATCAACTCGTAGTCCAGGAGACGATTGGAAAATTTATAATAAATTTTTCATAATAATATGAACACAAAAATAACTTTTCCCAGTTGTTTAGTTGCCATATTTAGCTTTTTTGGTAAAGTCTAATAAGATCATGGTCTAACATGAATATACCATAGTTCAATAGCCAAACAGCAGAATGATGGATGTTTGATAAGATACAATTTGGTGAGGATACTGATAATTGATGAGCACCATAGCTAAGGGACCGCAATGCGTACTTTTGGTGTCAATTTTAGCAATTTAACGATCACTTTTGCCTGGATCAAGAAGGAATTTTTTGAGCGTTTGCAACGCGTCGGAAATTCGTTTTTTAGCACTTTTCAGTGACTTTTTTCGAGAAAATGTTTAAGCAGTGAATCTGTGAAAGGTATTTAATAGGTGTCAAAATAACATTTATTTCATTTTCTTTCTCACGAGAGGGATAGTAGAGCTTACTTTATCACATTTTCTAAGGAGCAAATTGCAAAAAATGTCTTCGTTCCCTGTAGCAAGAATTATTGCGACCAAGTCTGATTCATGTATTGATTTGCTCATATATACAACTCAACACAATTTCCAGTACAACTAGACTAACTCACAACACTGCAATAGTGTGCATAGGAAGTTAGACAATAAAACTATGAAAAATAATGGAAAATTAACTCAATGCTGACATGATGTATCTACAATGTTACTGTAGGAAGATGAGTTACATTCACATCCCTCATAAACAACTTCTTGAACACAGAGCTCTTTTCCAAATCCTGCAAACACATGCCATAGAGCAACCAAATAAGGAAGCCATTGTATTCCGCGATGAGAAACTCAACAGAGTTTCACTCAGATTTCAAGAGTGTGACAGCAAGTCCAGACTCCTCGCGGCTGGGTTACTTGAGATAGGCATGGAACGAGGAGATAGAGTTCTAGTGCTTCTTCCATCGTATTTAGAGTTTGTTCTCTTCCATCTGGCCTTGAATAGGATTGGTGCGATCATGCTAGTTCACGAAGAAAATCGCTATTCGGCGGTTTTTGGTACTTCACAACTCGCTTGCGTCATCGCTCGAGTTGCTCCAACTGTCGTCAACAATGACAAAGTTATCAGTGAAATCAAAAACGCTCTACACCAGAATGTGCTCAAGGCTGCAATACTAGTAGGCTCTGATGCTGATGCAGATCTTCTCGATCACCCAAAAGCTTACACTTATCAAAAAATGTACACAATGGCCAATAGCAACCCACAAAGTAAAGCAAATGTCCAAAATGCAGAAGCCAAGGTCCAAATGGATGATCCATGTTTGGTTCTTTTCACATCAGGAACGACATCACTTCCAAAACCAATCGAAATCACACACCATTGTTATGTCAACGGAATCCTGGCAACTGCCGATACCCTGGAAATTACACGAAAAGCAATACATTTCAATGACTTCCCATTTGCTTGGATTGCGGGAATCGTGGAAGGCATCGGCACGTGTATTGTTATTGGTCTCACCTACATTGCTTTTCCACCTCAGTGTGCCATTTCTGGTCAACATACAATGACCATGATGAAGATAATCGAGGAAGAGTCCGTCACTCATGTTTACGTTTTGCTTAACGTGCTGCACGAAATCGTGTCTCATAAGAAAGAAATCATCGCAATGAATCTAAAGAATTTGAAGTTCATAAGTACGGGAGGGCAACATACTCCGCTTCCTCTTGTAAAGACCATGTTTGACATATGGCCGGATGTTCAACTTTTGAATATCTATGGAACGACTGAAGTAGTCTCCATTGCGGTGCAGAAAATTACCAGAGAAAGTTTGGATTCTCACGACTATGGAATAATGAGAGTCGTTCCTGGTTTGGAAATAAAGATCGTGAATGAAGAAGGTGAACTATTGCCTACTGGTGAACGAGGTTTGTTTGTATACACCCAATTGAACACTGATAAGGGTGTTCATCTGTTTGCTTTTTGTTTGTCATTGAAAAACATGTTCGAATTTGATTTTCCACACTTTATCTAAAGCACTTTCAATTTTTTTATAGAAATCTTTGTGATTATGAATATTATATATATGTCCTTATGCTGCAGGAGACATTTGTCTGCGTTCAGCCTGGGTTTCGTTCTGCAACTGGGACTACACAAACCCTGATCTACTAAAAGGCCGAGTAGATGGCAAAAAGATATCCAGGGGGTGGCATTCTTCTAAAGATGCTGGAGTTGTTGTCAATCAAAATTGCATCAGATTATATGGTCGACTTAAATTCATGATCAAAGTTGCTGGCGAATCCATTCCACCAGTTTTTGTTGAGAGTAAGTTACAAGAACACCCCGATGTCAAGAAAGTGTGCGTTGTTGGAGTTCCTGACGAGCGATTGTACCACAAGATATGTGCATGTGTTATACTCGAACATGGTCACCATGACAACATCCATGACTTGACGGACCAATTGGACCAATGGAGTAATGATAAATTCTGGGGGTCTTCCAGCGGGCTTAATATTAAGCCTCACTACTATATCTTCCTCGATAGTTTTCCCGTGACTCGAACGGGTAAAGTAAGTCGTAGAGAAGTGAGAAGTATTGCTATAAAGGATTTAGGGTTAATCTAATAAGGATTGAGATAGCCTACTGAGTCTATATCTTTTGGTAAGACTTAATAAACTAAATATAAAAACAAAAKCAATAACAAGAAAGATCCACTTAGTTACTACAATATATCTTTGAACTTTATTTATGAGATTTTTAAAATTAAATTGAATTTAAAATTTTTATTCAATAATCCAGGTGAACGTACGAAAGACGAATTAAAACAATAACAAATCAATACAGTTGACTCTCTTTGAACGACCACTCTCGTAAGCGACCGTATCCCGTATGCGACCACCTTTTAAATTTCCCGTTAATACTCTGTAAAAAAAAGCGACCAGTAAGCGATCGTAAGCGACCATCTCTCGTAAGCGACCACTTCTTCATGATCCCGAGGTGGTCGCTTACGAGAGAGTTGACTGTAGTAACATCCAGTTTTACTTTATCCTTGCCTCGGTATTATATGAATGTCCGTGAAAAAACGGACGTTTTGCAAATGGACAGTTGCGTTTGCCTTAATATTTTGCTTTATCTGTGGTATATGGGTATTTTTGGCTTTGTTTTCAAACTTTTGCATTGCGCTAATTGCATATTTCTATGCAATGTGATCTAGTCTTTTGTCCGACATGCATGGAGGCAAGCATGCAAGGATGCGTGACGTGGAGAAAACAAATTACACTAGAACATTCAGATCACTGAATGTGTTTGCCAACCTTGCACAAGTCGGACAACTGTGGTCAACAAAAAGGTATGAGGGAGGAAGCTATATAGGCAGAAACTTGCATTTGCTATTAATATTGGGCTCATACAATTCATGTCGTAAACTGTGACATAGTTTTTAAATATGGATGCAGCGACTTCATTAAGATTCCATACGCAGCCTTGAAATCTTACAAATAAAGCACAAAGGCTATGATTAAATAGCTACTGTTCTTTGCAATGTTCCATTACAGTGACATTTACTGCTTGAGAATCGTTTAATTTGACTGCAAGTAAAATGAATATGTATAGTGGAGTCAAAAATTATGTAAAATTGACATCCAGAGCTCCCTCGTCGTTTATTTTCGATTAACCTTTCAGAGACCGACACAGGGCTCCCGCGAATATGCATCGTGTAGCCACAGGAAACCCGTAACCGCCATGTCGCCAATAATTTAGTAAAACGTCGACATATGATTTTGATATCAAACATGAATTTTCGATATTGATAATTAGAAAAATCTGTCACGAGGAAAATATCCACAGGAGAGCAAAGTCAAAGCACAGAGAAGAAACAGAAATATTCCCGCCAATTTTCTCATAGCTACGACGCGTTTGCACATCCGGGATATCGATTTGCGAAGGATGACAAACCATTTATTTTCAAGCGATTTTGGATCACTTTTAGTAGTGAGGAGCTTCAATATTTCGATAACAAGAAATAAGATAATAATATCTCGGAAATTCAGCAAAAATATGAGGAAAAACAAAGATATTTGGGTCAAGAAATGCCCGAGAAGTGTGGACGTTTAGCAAGACTTTGTCAGTTAATCCTGGACGGAGAGAGATAAAACAAAAAAATCGAAAAAAGTACAGTCTAAAATGTCTTTGTAAATGAAACCTATAGGTGTACTGTTGAAGATGGTGTTTGAACTACGAGGCGAGCTTATATAGGCATGTCATGGGATGCCTCACCGTTGGCTTCAGCAGTGTCACCGACGATAATAGGATATCTAGCTTATAGCATTTTCTCGGTGTTTCAGAGAGCAATATTCATCGGCAGCTCAAGAATCAAGGTAAAAAATTAGTTAAGATATTTCTATTTTGTACACTGTCAGTTAAGAGTTTTGTGGTGATGTGAAGACCAGAAAACGTTGTCCACGTTACGCCATCGTTTTTACACATTTAAAAGTGTCGCATTCTTTAGTTTAGTGTCGTATTCTTTAGTTTAAATGGTTGCCATTGACTTTAATTTCTGTTTGTAGAAAGAAAGTGAACAAATGGTGATCTAATTCAGACACTGTACAAAAATTATTATTAATAATTAAAACCGCAAGGTTAATTTTAGACTTTCATGGTGTTTTTAGTATCTTGGATTTATTTTTTTCTTTTTCAACTTTCTGCTTACCACTGTTATTGGAAACCCTGTATGGCTTACACTAGCTCTATTCTTTGAAAAATACCGTTTCTCATGATTGAAGTGTGCAGCAATCTCTTACCCAGACACCACACTTTTGCCATCCAGCGGATTTCAATGCGTGAGAGACTCTGGAGGAAACAATTTTTTCTCGATTCGTGATTGGTTGAAAATGACGCGAGCGCGTACGCGTATTGTTTTCAAATCGGTTTTTCAAGTCGCCAGCGCGCGCTCGCCTGTTTGATTAAAAATATCATACTTTTATCGCATAATCACACATGTTTTCACACATTTGTGTTTTTTAAAAGGTGTCAATACTGTTCCTAWACTAAGTTGTGTGCTAAACCTTCTTCTTTTTTGTCATTTTGATGCTCTAAAGCGGCAAAAACAAAACTGACCCAATTTGCATAATTTGCGACGGAAAAACGTCGCAAATCCAGTCGATTCCTCCAGAGTCTTTCCGGCGTCAGCATACCGCTGACATTAGCCGTGAAGACTCTGGGCTCGAGATTGATTCCTCCAGAGTCTTTCCGGCGTCAGCATACCGCTGACATTAGCCGTGAAGACTCTGGGCACGAGATTGAGTGTGCAGCTGAATCTCCACTAAGCGCACGCGCGCGGTCTTTCACGTCATCATTAAGTTGGAATTACAATGACGTAATAATACACTTATCAGTTCGAATGAAAATTTCGCATGTTAAGTTCATCTGAGAGGTTTTCTTAAATATGTATACTGTGAAGGACAAGTTTCTTCGTATTCAGACAATGGTACAAAGTACATTTAGTAAAAGATCTGAAGAAGTCGACAAAAGTATTCCAGAAGGTGTGAATAACGACGTTCAAAGTAGTGTGGCGGAATATACTGGAATTCTGCCGCGACGCAAAATCACTAAACCCGCAAACAGGCGGTATACTCTGGGCAAAAAGGTGAGGACGTTCTTGAGAAATGCTGGTTTTTCACATTTTTCACTCTTTTTAATAACCTTTTCAGGCGTTCCGAGTACATGCTCCAAGCCTTAATTCTCAGCCTAAATGTATGGAGTTTGATCTTATTGGAAAAGAGAAAACAAGTCAATTAATTGATCTGTCCATGGCCGAGAAAGTTAAACCAAATGATTCATTTATCAGTGAAACAGTCATTCATCTCGATGATGCTATGAAGCTAGGAAAACAGGCAATGCCTATAGATATGCAAAATGTTTGTAAAGAAGAGCCAGCCAAGTTCAAAGAAAACTTCCCATCGATCAACCAATGCTTAATCTCTGATAAACAGATAAACAGCGGTATGAAGAGGTATTCTGGTATTCTGGCGGCTGAAAAACAATCCGCAGCTCCTTCGACCGTAGATGGAAAGTCGATTGAAAATACCACGATTAAGACCTCTTTTGGAGTTGACAAACAAGTCTCCAATCTAAAGAAACCTTCTATAACAGCTGAGAAGCTTCCTGACATTTCCCTAATGGGTGGTCCTCTTGTAGGACGATTGGTCACTAACGACGCTAACCTTCCAGCTGTACTTTCCGAGAAGTCCATCAAGCTAACACCTGTTGCAAATATTAACTCTCCCGAAAGTATGAAAGCAGAGCTACTTGATCACAACTTGAGAGAATTCGAACAGCAACTGAAAGAACTGACCGGCTCCTCACAGACACAATCTCCATGTGGTGTCAGTAGGAATTCTAAAGAAGATATGGCAAAACTCAGAAAAGAAGTGGATACGGTTGTAGGCAGGTTCTCCCCCTGTCCAGATACGCCACAGTCCTGCATATCTACACAAACGCGAGAAGAGTCTACGGTGGATACTGATAAGCTGTCAAAAAGAAACGATTCGCACATGACTGCGAACAGACGAAGACTTTCCAAACAGGGAAAAACGTCGAAGAGCAGGAGTAAACATACAGACTTGGCACCTGTTGTCGTTGGTTATGCGACTTCTTGGAAACCTCCACAACCACCACTTCCAAAAAGTGAAGTTAGTTTTAACAGTGAGGTGGTAGTCGAGATACATGACCTTGAAACTAAAGACAACTTCCCTGAAAGGGCGAAGTTGACAGAACTTGCCCCACTTCATCAAAACAGCATCAGAAGACTTGATTGTACGAAGTTTAAAAAGGCAAAGAAGCAGAAGGAAGGTATTACAGTCGAAGAGGTGGTAAAACCAGCCCATCACAGGGAGAGCGAACTACCGTCTATTGCACCAAGATGTACCAGTCCGACGTTACTACCTTTCAGTGATAATTTTATCACTCCAAAAGACTTATATAAGCCAAAGAATCACAAAGAACAACCGCTACCTTCCATTGCACCAAGGTGCTCAAGTCCAAAGATCCTGGCTTCGAGTGGTATCACACCTAGAGACATGTACAAGCCAAAGGCAACCTTCACTCCAAGTGAGATGTACCATACAAGAGGCAAAAGATTTGACGACTTTAAAATGCAACCTAAGGGATCCCTCAGTCCTATCCGGCCACGTGTCATTAAGTCGTCCCGTATGGATGCTCTTGTAATGCATCGATTTGAGTACGTCTCGAGTGATGACGATGAAACCACATAAACTAAGCACCGAGTGCGAAATCAACACGAAATCCATGTTGACCATAGGTAAGATGACTCAATTGCTTATTTATTATCACGTATACATAACATAACAGTACTAAAGGGAACGGCGTTTGTCATTTGTAGAGGAATACTAAGATTGTCAAACTGCATGAAATGAGCGATTTTGGATTACTAATCAAAAGCTACACAACTTTGTAGATTATAAGCACATATGTGCCGAAGTTGTACTTTGTATATTAATCAGATTGCTCGTATTGGTCTCTTGCACTCATCATTCAACTATTGCAATCGCCGTTTTCTCCAACAACCCTCTCTGGAATAACAGTAAACTGCTGGGGACGGTCTTATGATGATGATGATAATTACCTTCATTTGCGCTTCAATGATATCCAGGTTACAATGGTAAAGTTAACGGGGGAGAACTGTCTACAATATAATTTGATATGTTGATTTTTAATAATATGTTTTTTTAACAGAGTATGAACGGCCAAACGAAGGTGATGTAGGTCACGATAACCAGGTTGGTGTCCTTTCTAATTGAGCCAGAAATGCAGTGTGGTCAGCAGCCAAATCTTATTGATATAAATAAAACTGTAAGAAAAATATACAAAAAATCATAAAAAGTGACTATAAAAAATCAAATAAAAAAATACATGTAAGAAAAGAGAATGAAAAAATGATAATAAAAAAAAACATCCCGAAAATTGTGAAAAAATCACAGTTTAAATTTCAGTTTTGCGGCGAAAATCAAGAAATCGTTATTAACAAATGTATGTGCGATTGAATGCAGACATAATCATGCACATACACTCTTTATCACTTATCACGGCGCCAATTCTAATTTTTCTATTGCAATTTCCCTCACTTTCCTTCGGTGAGTTTTTCCCGATCCAGTCTGCGGAAAACTATCAAGAAAGACATAGTAATGGGGTTTAATCCTGAACCCGATGGAAGACTCCCAGAATTTGTCTTTGCCCCATTCGTCAAATTGCTCGCTCAGGTCATTCCTGTTGTCATAGTGATGATCCTGTTTGAGTATAATACATGCACATATCTTCTGGTTATAATCGATCGTCAGGAACCCCAACGACGCACACTTTCTTAACATCGGGATGTTCTTGTAACTTACTTTCAACAAGAGCTGGTGGAATGGAGTCGCCGGCTACTTTCATCATGAAATCAAGTCGACCAAGTAATCTGATGCAATTTTGATTGACAACAACTCCAACATCTTTAGACGAATGCCATCCATTGGGTTTCTTGATTGTATCAACTCGGCCTTCCAGGTCAGGGTTCATGTAGTCCCAGTTGCAGAAAGAAACCCAAGCTGATCGCACACAAATTTCACCTGGATTGAAACAGATTGCAATTAAACAATTCACCATGTGTGAAAAAAGAATTCTGCATACATAGAACAATAGGAATCCAGAGCTATTACGCAATAACTTTTTTAATTTTAGGTCAAGTACTCCAGCCCTAGAAAAAACGTACCATTAATAACTTACCTGCTTCACCAATCGGCAACAATTGACCTTTTTTATTAACGATTTTGACTTCCATTCCAGGAACAACATCCATTGCTCCGTTGTCCAGGCAATCCAGAATATCGTTGTTGATTTTTTGGCTTAGACAAAGATTTGCCTCCGTAGAACCATAAAGAGCATAAACATGGAGCAAGGAAATATTTGGCCATATTTCAAGAAAGGATTTTATTAGAAAGGGTGGAGTGGGTTCGCCACCAATAGATACCCGTTGTAGTTTGATATCAAGATTCATGGCCTGTATCTCGTCCTTGTTCGCTGCCATGTTATGTAAATGGTGCTTTCTGAAATTAGCATCCGTGACAGACTCTTCGGCCATAATCCTTACGATCGTAAACAAATGATTCGAATCTAAGCCGGCCTTAGCTGGGAATGCAACATAAGTTAGACCTTGCACAATACAAGAACCAATACAAAATGATATTCCTGTAACCCAGTCAAATACAGTATCGAAGAAAAAAATAGAGTCCTTAGATAGTCTTAAGCAATTTATGTTAGCCAAGACCCCATTCACATAGGCGCTATGAGTGTACTCGATTGGTTTTGAACGTGAGGTGGATCCAGACGTAAATATAACCAAACATGGATCATCCATTTGTACCTTGGCTTCTGCATTACGGACATTTGCTGCACTTTCGGGATTCTCTTTTCCTATTCCGTACAACCTTTCAAGAGTGTGAACCTTGAAGTGACCGAGAAGCTGTTCATCAGCGTCAGAGTCTACCAGTACGACCGCCTTGAGCATCTTTTGGTTTAGAACCTCTTTGATTTCATTTACAACTTTGTCGTTGTCTATGAAATTTGATGGATTAACTCTAGGAATGATGCAAGCGAGATCTGGAACATCACACATTGCCGTAGTACTATTTTTAGGGGAAGCTATCATGACTGCACCGATCCTATTCAAGGCCATATGGAAGACAACGTACTCCACATACGATCATAAGTACTCTATCTCCTCGTCCAACTCCTATCTCAAGTAACCCAGCAGCAAGGGATCTGGACATGGTGTCGTATTCCTGGAATGTTAGGGAAACTCTGTTGAGTTTCTCATCACGGAATACAATGGCTTCCTTATTTGGTTGCTGCTTGGCATGTGTTTGTAGGATTTGGAAAGCAGTCCTGTGTTCAAGAGGCCGATCATGAGGGATGTGAATGTAACTCATTCTTCTGAAAAATAAAGCATCCTTTTCAAAAATTTACCTTTGGACATTAACGGTCGCTGCTTTCTCAACTAGATGTTTAGAGCGTGCTAACAATCATATAATATATATTGACTTTCACAATTTGTACTGCGCAAGTTTGCCGGAGATGTAGCTCTCCGGGTAGGTCTTTGCAAAAGGCTTCTATCGATTGCTATAATTGCGCTCGAAAGTGCGCTTTGTGATCGTCGCATGTCTATGCCGAGAGCAAATGTGTTTCACTCCAATTTTTAACTCGGAGATTGCGTTAGCAATCGAGTCCAGCTGCAGACAGGACATTTTTTTCTTTTTTTCTTTTTGATGTTTTGGAGATTCTCTTTTCTTTTCTCCTTTTTCTAATAATAACAAACATGTTTCTGCATAAAGTTTTGTTTTTAAGAAATTCTTTTAATCTTTGCGATCGGTAAATAAAATAAGGTTCACCATGATGGGTTTCCTGTGTTGTATACTGTGGATTCAATCGATATTTACCGAAAACAACTGACCCATCGCACTACGTTAAAAACCTGGATTCAAGAGGAGAAAAAATTGTAAAAATTATATTGTTTGGCGTAGAATTGTACCAATTGCAATAAGTTTTGACTTGGTTTTCGCTTCGAGTACCTGTCAACATGGCGTGTCTGCTAAAATGTAGCTTTCACGGCCTTATAAATAAACTTCAAGCAAATGGACGGTTTCTATTCCGCTTTAGACTTCAAGGTAAGATAATAATGTACAAAGCTTAGTAATGGCATACTTAAATCTTAAGTTTATCATATGAATTACAAATCAAWYTTTKTAGGCTGTGTCWACCTGCCCGTGAGTATTCATTGTTTTCAAATAATTATATTACGTACCGAGACTAAATCATTAATTTCATCGCTAAACCCAACCCAAACCTTACCCTAAACCTAACCTAGAGCTAACCAAAGACTTTTGTTCAGTAATTCTGTATTTTTTTTCGCAAACGGACATTTTGACTTCCACTATTTACACGGCAGCCGGGCATGTAAGTAGACACAGACACTTCGAACTTTGTCGCCTTTGTTAAGCTTAATTTACATGTAACTTAAGCTGAAGCTTTTCCTTTTATAAATTTCGATGTCTCTCTGAACGAATAAGCTTATATTTTTATCAATAAACCTTAATCCGCTTAACAGTGATTGGAAGAAAAGCACTGGAATAATTCAGCAAAACTGCCGAAATCAACTAGCATAAAGAATAATCAAAACAACAATGTGGATTTCATACTTCAACAAAGGAGCTCAAAACAAAGTTATGATATACCAATTCACTTGTTCTTTCAATACATGAAGGCATTAGCTACTCAAATTTTTCACTAATAACTTATCTCGTTAGTTAATACTGTTTTTTAATCCAATTTTAAATGTTAAATTGCATTTTTCCCAATATTGTTCTGATCGTATTTTTATGATTTTTTATATGATCACCTATTACATGTTTTTGTAAATAAATAACTTATCTACTGTGGTAATAAAATGCTCAAAATACAGCTGACCATCTTGCAAAAGCAGCTCTCACAATCTCGCAATCTCCGAGTTATGTTGCCATTGGCAGCTTGAAGCACTTGCCAGCAGTTCAAAACACTGTAAGAAGACTTTCGAATTTCCATTTTCTTACCCTTTGAAAGCTGTAATATTAATAAAACCCCTAGTATATTGTAGTTAGTATTGTTTCCGGTTTAACGACTGCATGTGTTCTTGTCAAAATCACAATTTCAGCACAGTAACTGAGAAAATTTAGTGTCAAGATTTAGGTGACAGATATACAAAGGAATCCGCCATCCATGTCTTACGTCTTTTAAGGACCAGAAATCCAAGAATAGCTGCATGATTTTAGTAAACATAAATATAATTGCAAATCGAATGATATCTGACGAGTTTAGTAAGATCTCACCTTAAACGATGAAGAGCACTATAGCAATAGCATCAGCACATGAAAAGGCGCGACAAGGTACAAACTCACTAGGTACAATTACAATTTTTTATAGACTCATGAAGAATGACGTGGCAGATCAGGTTATATAAATACCACAAAACCCCAGGTTCATTCAAGCGAGCTCACAGCTTAATGGGTTCACCCATGTATGGAGTCATACGAAAGATCCTTCTCTGAGTTGGTTGTAGGTACTTTTCGTTCTTTATTAATAACTCATACCAACTATATGGCCAAGAAATCATTGAATACTTTAAAAACTATTGTCAACTACTTGAATTGTGAGAAACGTCTAATGGTATAAAGTGCTAAGTACATTGACATCATTTTTTTGAGTTTGATTATTTTTTTAACAGAAAGTATTAAACGACTATTAAATGCAAGGGTGACTATTCTTGATGTATCTTGATTTTTCTATTGCATCAGTCCTAATTCCTTTATTGCAATTTTTCTCACTTCTCTAAGATTCACTTTACCCGTACGAGTGGCGGGGAAACTATCAAGAAAGACATAGTAATGGGGTTTAATCATGAACCCACTGGAAGATTCCCAGAATTTATCTTTGCCCCATTGGTCGAATTTCTCATTGAGGTCATTCCTGTTGTCACGGTGATCCTGTTTGAGTATAATACATGCACATATCTTCTGGTACAATCGCTCGTCAGGAACTCCAACGACGCACACTTTCTTGACATCAGGGTGTTCTTGTAACGTACTTTCAACAAGAGATGGTGGAATGGAGTCGCCGGCTACTTTCATCATGAAATCAAGTCGACCAAGTAATCTGATGCAATTTTGATTGACAACAATTCCAACATCTTTAGAAGAATGCCATCCATTGGATTTCCTGCTGGTATCTACTCGCCCTTCCAGGTCAGGGTCCATGTAGTCCCAGTTACAGAACGAAACCCAAGCTGACCGCAGACAGATTTCACCTTATGATAATAAGAACAAGGTTTCGACAAACTGACACATCAGCCAATTGTTTAATTTATATAAAAAGCAAAAATACCTGTTTCACCAAGCGGCAACAGTTGACCGTTTTCATTCACGATCTTGACTTCCATTCCAGGAACAACATTCATTACTCCGTAGTCTAGAGAATCCAGATTATCTTTGTCGATTTCCTGGCTAAGACATACGTTTGACTCCGTCGACCCATAGGCGTTAATTACTTTAATTTTGGGCCATATTTCAAAAACGTCTTCCAAAAGAGACAGTGGGGTTGGTTGTCCTCCTACAGTTATGTGCTGAAGCTTGATATCGTGACGCATGCTCTTTATCCGTTCTTTGTTGATAGCCATGTCTTGCAAACGGTACAGCGGAAAGGAAGCAACTGTAACACGTTCTTCTGCTATAATACTGAGGATCGTCACCAAATGCTTCGCATCTAAGCCGGACTTAGGTGGGAATTCAATATAAGTTAGACCTTGCACAACACAAGAACCAATACAAAATGATATTCCTGTTATCCAGTCAAATGGAGTGTCGAAGAACAAGATGCAGTCTTTATTTAATTGTAGACCTCTTATACTGGCGTAGACTCCATTTACGTAGGCGTGGTGAGTGTACTCGATTGGTTTTGGAAGTGAGGTGGATCCGGACGAAAATATAACCAAACATGGATCATCCATTTGGACCTTGGCTTCTGTTTTTCGGACATTTGCTGCACTTTCTGGATTCTCTTTGGCCATTAAGAACAATTTTTGATACGTGTAAGCTTTTGGGTGATCTTGAAGATCTGCATCAGCATCAGAGCCTACTAGTACTGCAGCCTTGAGCATGTTCTGGTACAGGGCTTTTTTGGTTTCACTGATAACTTTGTCATTGTTGACGACAGATGGTCCAACACGAGTGATGACACAGGCGAGATCTGGGATACCAAAGACGGCCGGATAGGAGTCTTCTTCGATGGCTATCATGACAGCACCGATTCTGTTCAATGCCAGATGGAACAGAACAAACTCCACATACGATGGTAGGAGCACAAGAACTCTATCTCCTCGTCCAACTCCTATCTCAAGTAACCCAGCAGCGAGGGAACTGGACATGGTGTCGAATTCCTGGAATGTTAGGGAAACTCTGTTGAGTTTCTCATCACGGAAAACAATGGCTTCCTTATTTGGTTGCTGTTTGGCATGTGTTTGCAGGATTTGGAAAGCTGTCCTGTATTCAAGAGGCCGGTCATGAGGGATGTGAATGTAGCTCATTTTTCTGCAAGAATAATGGTAAAAATTTCTTTTTCAATAATCCCATTTTGGTCGTACAGATATTCTAGTGCCTGTTTCAAAAATGGCATGCTACTTCTTATTAGAAAACTAAATCTGTGAAAATTAAATCTGTTTTAGTCTTCAATAAAATCAACCAAGAAATTATCATATTAGTCTATTAAAGCTCTCGGGCTTTACAATACCACTCCTACACAATCTTCGAGTTTAAAATGACTCCCGTTAGGTTGGTAAAACATCAGAATTAAAATTTTTAAGTTCTGAGTCATAATTCTGCTATAAGTACTACAAGGTTGGTAACTCCGAAAAGCGATCGCCTCCAAACAATGGAAATTTTCTCACCTAAAATCTCAACTCGAGCAAATTTCGACCTCACAGCCTCTTAGAACGATAAATTCCCTTTCCACACATACCAACTTCAAGTCATCAGATCGCTTTTCTAGCCAGAAAATCCCCAGGGTAAAACAATTTGAAAAGCAAATTTTTCGTAGCCGTATGCTCAAATCAACGATCTGGACCCCCATAAGCCTCATCC